CTCTTCCGAAGACTTTCCTCTCTCTAACCTGCAGAATGGCAACTGTTAGTCCTGTGCTCAGAGTGGAAATTGCCACCCCTTCCAAATTATGTTGTAGTTCAAAATGTTGAATGTTTTAGAATGGAATCTAGAGCAAAATAAAAACACTTAAAGGAGCTGAGTTGCATTTGTCAATTGTTTAGGAGGCCCCCAGAGTTTTGGGAAGGGGTTTATTAACCCAGAAGGCCACAGAAATTGCACTTGTTGCAAATTAAATTTTCCACCTTAATCAGGCAAGCAGGTTGACTGTTTTTTAATCATGAGTGGGAGAATGATTCTGCAACTCAGTGACAGTATTGTAATCCCCATCAGCCCTGGGAAACGTTGAATATCTATAGTGTTGCATCTCTGTTTGCTTTGCCAGACTATGCTTTCTCAGTCTGGTTCTCAGACTGCGTGTTTGGGATATGCTGTAGAGCACTTAGTCCAGTTTTGTCCTTTTATGGGCCAGAATTCCATGATTCTTTCAATTATGTTCTCATTGCCATGGTGTGATTAGAGGAATTAGAAATAGCCAGGGTCAGAGTGCATGGCTGTTATGGGAAATAATAACAGGTTACGGCCCCTGCACCCAATTGCAGTGTATCTGTCTGAGTAACTTTCACAACCTGCGTTGTGAAACAACTCTGCCATCCCCAGTGGAAAAAAATAAATGTGCACACAAATGTTTGATCTCTCTAAATTCAGCAAAAAAGTAATGTATATAGTTGAGAGAGGCCTGTTGAAAAATCCATTCTCGACCTTCTGTGTTATTAGTGGCATAATTGAAATAGTCAAGCTGGTCCTGAGTGGTGCTATAGCTGTTGCCATAAAATTGTAGAAAGTGTTAGGGTGGAGGGGACCTTTAGCGGTCTCCAGTCTAAACTTCGGCTTAAAGTGGAGCCAACTTACTGATGGCATTCAGGACAAAAGATTGGGTTAGTGACTCTTAATATACAGAAGTATACTGCAGTTAAGTTAGTTGGTAATCTCCCCAGACACGACCCAAGATCAAACTGTTACCCCTTCCAACCTGTCTCTGCAAACTTGTCTGTTGACATGTTACGTACATACACTGTTGTGAACACTGCTTAATCCTAGAGCCTGCGAAATGTAAAAATTGGGTATATTAAACAAACAAACAAACAAAAACCCCTTCTTAGTACTTTAAGTTAAACTTTGTTCCAGGGTTAGGCACTCTCAGTCCTACTGCTGCACCCCGGTTGCTCAGTGATGGTTGTGGTACCAACCCAGAGCAGCTATAAAGAACTGCAGCAGTCTGCTGTGCCGCTCATCTCGCCAGAAGGGAACGTGTGTGCTAGATACGACTGGTAGCTGCTCTGCTACGCCACTGTCAGGAGACAGTGGGTCTAAACCTGCCAGGGCTGGAAACGAATGCTAGTTTTGGAGATGACCCATCCTAAACAGACTACTGTGTGGACATGGTGCTGTCTAGCAGGTGTTTGTATGAGACAGCATATGTGAGCTGGAAGCACGTGCCTCTGTTCCTGTACCCTGCTCCTGTTTGCAGACAAATTAGATGGCTCAGCGATTGTGCCACTTGCCAGTGTGTGGCAGCAGGAGAATTTAGGTCGGCTGCAAGTTTCTGTCCTGCCTGCCCTGTCACCTCTGAGACGTGTGAGCCGTGCTGTGGACAGGAGCTGCAGGCTAAGCAGGTCACTGGTTGAAGAGCCCTGGCAGAGGTGCTGTGCCTTGGGGCTTTCCTGGGGGCAAGAGCTGGTGTTGCTTGTGGTCTACCAGACGCTGCAGAGAATGACCTGTGGAGCTGGAGGACCGCAGTTCCTTCCCTGTGGAAGGACCCTGATTTAATTTTGGGGGGGGGAGGGATGAGGAGACTGAGAAGCCTCATTCCTCTTTTTTTTGTGGAGAAACAGAAAATATCCATCTCTAGGCTGCACAAATGCTCCTGTTGCCATCAATATGGGGCCAGCTATATTGATTTTGAATTATTGCCCTGTCTAAAAAATTGCAGTTATCTAGTGTTTGCAGTTATTTTTACTAAAGCATATGATGAGCGATACTGAAACGTCACAAGGAGCTGCACTTGCACGAATGATGAGATGAAATTGCTGAGGGTCACATTCTTATTGGCAGAGCAGGACATTGAAGCCTTCATTTTCTCCCTTCGGCTTGGAATTTTTTCTGTTGCAAGCATCTCTTTTCTGGCTGTTTCTGGCTCATGCCCTATCCTGCTGCTTTCTGCTCTGGTTTTTCCTCCTCAGCAGGGCAGCCTGCCGTTTGTACGTTGCCTTGTCTTTTTCTGGCTGTTCATGCCACATTTTCCCAAGCTTCTTGACAGTTTCTACAGCTGTCCAGTGCGGATTTGATTTCCTCAGCGCTGGGCGATGCTTTGCTGCGAAGAGAAAGAAAGCAGGTAGTGGCTGCTTCATCGTAGTGAGGCTGTTTCTTTTCCTTTGCCTTTTTCTCTGCTGTCTCCTCACTCCCCTTAGAGGATCTGACGTTCTCGCCGTTGTGTATTTTGCGTTGTGCTGCTTTGCTATGTCTTCGTACTTCTTTTTTTCCTCCCTAGACATGGCTTTCCATTTTTCTGAGCATTTCTTGGAAAGTTCTTTGCCATTAATAGGCTGGGGGCTGGCCTTGGCGTGCTCCTTGAAGGAAAAGTAGAAGATGAGGTAGGAAGTGAGTTTCCTCTGTTTGGGCTGTGTAGAAGCCGGAGCCATGGCACGAGGCCGGCATGAGCTCCTCTGCTCAGTGCCCCTGCGGTGGAAGCAGGGGTGGTTTTGCCCTATTTAGTCCTAAGCGGCCTCTCCTGCCCCCAGGCGTGCTGGTGGGCAGGAGGGCTTGGCCGGCCCTGCCGCCGGCGCCCGCCGGGGGCTCGCTCTGGCCTCCGGCACCGCGCCATTGTGACACAGAGTTAACGCGGCCAGTCTCACTGCTCAGCTGCCGTTGGCTGGCAGTGTGATGATGTCACAGGGCTGCAGTGACGTCACCATGGCGGCACCAAGCCGCAGGTAGCGCACTGCAAGCGAGCCGGCTGCCTGACGAGGTCGCTGGATGCCTCTGCTGCTTTGTCATGATAAAACGCGAAGCTGCCGTTAGCTGCTGAGAGGTGGCAGCTCGTAATGTGAAAATGGTTTAGTAGCAGCCCTAAAATAATTGTATGTGACAGCTGTTTCTTGGTTCCTGTCAGGATAACTACTGTAATTTAAATCCACAGCTTCTGGACTGCATGTCTAATTTATTTGGGAGGACTTTTCGTTAATTTGAAAGGTTCTGAGGGTTTAAAAGCCTTCATTAATTACATTTGAGTAAATGAAAATGTAATAAAGTGCTGCAGGCTTGTGTGGGAGCGTAAGAAAGAGATTTCCCATGTTTTGTTCGCTTGTTTTTAAAAGGTTAAATCAGTTGTTCCTGGGAAGGGGTAGCTTTTCTGACCTCCTCAGAATCGTCGTAACTAAGAACAGAAGTATGAATCAAACAAATTTAAATTTTGACCATTCATTGCAGGTATCAGGTGACTTATTGAAGTTCCCAGTAGTGTGAAATATTCAGAAGTAGTGGATTGTGTGCGTTCTAAATTATGAAAAAGACCTTTCTTTGGAAGAGCTTGTCTTTTTTGAAAGAAGGAGGAACAGAAGGCTAGAAGGATGGGATTTCTCCTTTTATTACAGACAGATAACTTCTTTAATGCCTAATTTTGCTGTAACTAGTAGGACTGGTTTGATTGCTCTGCTGCCTGCCTGGATCAGAATTAGGCTCGGTCGCCTTGCCGTAGTTAAGTAGGAGTTGGTGGCAAAACTCTAGCTCTAGTCCAGTTGTGGGTAAAATTGAGTTTAGTCAAAATACTTTTAACGTGTTGCTTTTGGTGATATCTCTCTCCTTTCTGTGTTTACTCTCACTCGTTTTCAAGTGACCCTACAGTAGAAAATAAAATGGGAACAAACTTCGGGTGTTTGTAGTACCATGAGGCTTGCTCCTTTCCCGTCACTTTCTGGTTTTTGTTTGTTTTGGGGTTTGGGGGGTGGTTGCACCCTCTCTAGGCAGAGGGCGATTTGCATTCCATTCGTCTGTCCTGCTTTTTCTTCTTTTGCTTCTTTGCTCTGAAAAGAGAATCTGCATTTGATTATTCTAAAGTAATGAAATAATTTCATTACAGCATTCAGAGGCCTCTTCAGCAGGTGCTTTATTATCTCAATAATTCAACCTAAGAGACTTTTCATATTCCCCAGTTACCAGAGTTGAGGAGCTACAAATAAAACTCAAATCTTTCCCTGATTTGGTTTATTTAGCCTCATTTATCTGTGTTCTTTCCAGATCTTCCCCAGGAATTTCATTTAAATGTGGAATTGATCATATTCAGTGAAATTGCCTTAAGGAGTGCATTGTGTTTAAAATGCACACGAGACAGACAGTGTCCCACTTGGTTTAGGCCATTTATAAAAATCACTTTGAATTGAAGCCATTAATCTGAACTCAGTGGAATATTTACTCATGTCCCTGAATTACCTACATCATTCATCAAAATAGGCTAACTTTGTTCAAATAAATACTGGGACTGGAATCCTGGAATAAACGCGGGTCAGTGTGAGGGTTGGACACAGCCGTGCGTCTTGTCCCCCCCTTCCCTCCAGCGTGGGGAGACAGGGTAGGTTTTAATAAGCTACCGCCTCTGTGGGGAAATACACTGTAGGAGTGATTTACAGCCGTCTGTATCCAGGCTCTCAATCCTGGAGGAGCTTTCTGCTAGGAAAACAAAGAATATCCCCCCCCTTTAGAACGGGGGGTTTTGAGTGTGTTCCCCTTTGCACTGAATGAGATTGCTACTTGCTCAGTGAGAAACTTGTCAGTCGGGGATTTCCTGTCCCTTCGCTGTCTTGCTGCTTATGAGTATTTATGCAAGCACGCTTTTGGCTGTGCAGTTGTTATATGGACAGTGAATTCTAAGCCTGGAGATGAGACTGGTTTAATAAAATTGATTTTTAACTTGTTATTTTATACAAATGTGAATAGCTGGGTTCATCCAGCCAAAAAATGGAAGTGTTACCTGGTAAGAGAGAGACCTCTGTTCAGTAGAGGTTGAAGCAGACTCCAAGGGCAATGTGGAGAGTTTGTGTGTGTGATTAATGCCCAAAGCATGTTAATGCCTAAAGCATGTTAACTGAAAACTGGCCATTAACTCATTTGAAATACAGCTTTAAAAAAAAAAAAAAAAGGCGGAAAACAACCGGACAAAACCGTGGCATGTGCTGCTAGTAACGAACAGTTTCAGCATCCTTAAACTCCCTGGCTTTCTCCAGTAAGCGGTTTGTCTGTAGGAGGTAGCAGTCAGCTTGACGTTCCTGTGATGTGTTGTCTGCTCTTCCACGTGCTGTATCTTGCTGTCCACAATTCTGCCTTTTCCTTACAGTTAGGGAAAACGTTTTATGCTTGTCTTACTGCTTTCCGGAGATGGCTACAGCTAGGAATGGTTGCAGGGTGGTGGTCCCCCCCCCTTGCCACCCCTGTCATATACGATAAGTCAGAAACATCACAATAAAGTAGAAAAAGAGTTACCTGATATGGGTTTATAGGGAACTATAGCTTAAAATGACTGTCCTTTCCTGATAACACAGTAAGGTACAGAGAGTTCGCTGTGTGTTTTGCTGTGGGGAAACTCAAGTGCAGAATAGGCAAGATATTCTGCGCTGTAATACGCTTCCAGGCTTTATTTTCATTTGACCGTGTTTACTTAAAAGCTCAACTCTATCTCTATTCGCAACCTGGCTTCTTATTTCTGGAGAAATGTCTTTCCAGGCCTTGGACGTGGCAGCTTCCCTTCTGTTGTGTTCCTGACATGCCAGTTCTTGCCTTCGTCCCCTGTCAGCACCCCACGCACGGTCCTGGGGTGTGTTTGTGGGTCAGCAGACTGAAGGGGCACAGCAAGTGGGTGATGCAGCTTGAAAAAACATAAGCCTTCATTAGGGTATTTTTCTAAACAAATGATAACTTCATCCTAGGCTTACTTGTTTATTCTTCTTTATGATCTGTCAGTGAGACTTTGATTTGGTGTTTTTGTCATTATCTAGTCGCTGTGGTGGATGCAGATGCATCCTGAGACTGCAGATACCTAATTACCAAGAAAAGAGATTTTACCATCAGTCCTGGAAGAAAATCTTTGTTGTGGACCTGTTTAGATTTCCAGTCAAAAGTGGGATCTAGATTGTTCATATAAAATAATGTTTCTCTAGTATTATTTCCTTTAAAAGGGGAAAAAAAAAAAAAGCCTGCGGTCTCTGGCCACTGAAATGGTTCACTCATCTAAGATCTTACCTCTCTACCTATTAACTAAGGAGAGCTGATGAAGGATGAAACTGGTTCCAATTTGCCATGGTAGGTGAAAATTTCATGCCAGAAGGTATAATATAAACGACGATGCAGGAAAAATTAATAAAGCTAGAAGACTCTGTGTGAATTGCATGCTCCAAAAAAGTAAACCTTTGGCTTTCCATGTATTGCCAGAATGCTTCTAAGGTCAGCGTTGGTCAGAGTTAACAGCCTTATCTGTAGTTATCCTTTCAATATACATTAGCTGTTAATTTGAAAGAACAGTTTTTGACTGTTTCTTTTAAAAAAAGTGAAAGCAATCCCTTGACGGAAGCTATCAAGACACACACAAAAAAGCAGGAAGATGAGAAAAATGTCTCTGCTGATAATTATATTAATTATAAGGTAAATGAATGTTGACATTTGAGAGTTCAGCTGAAAAGATCAGACACGCTAAGGCGTAGAATACCTACGTGAAATACGATGTAGAGAGCAGAGTAGTTGCGTAATGTCTGAAAGCTTGCTGCTCTTTATATATAAAGAGCAGTAAAAAGTAAAAGGTGCAGTGCTGTCTATTTCTTTTTTGTTGGTTCTCCTAATTATACAGTGTGAATTTAGAGATTCTTTTAAAGCTTTGTCTCTTGTAGTCTGTCTTAAGCGGTCTGATTTGTGATTGCAGAAAACGGACCTGACGTGATCATATTATCTTAAAAAATGCAGGGTAAATGGAAATAATATATCCCTTTTCATTATTCCATGAGATTTTGGTACATGCCTTATGATTTGTGAATGGTTTGCGTTTGCTAGAAATACTGGGATTCTCAATTGCATTAAACTAACGCCAAAGTCTCAATTTTAATGGGAGTTTGTCCCCTTTTGGTTGAATTTGTCCCCTTTTGGTGTCCCCCCTTTGTACGCATATTTTTTTTTTTGTGAAACGTTGCTTCATAAGCTAGTACTTTGGTGACAGATACTTCTGCTTTCCCTCCTGTGCAGAAGTTAGTAACAGTGAGAATAAGCCATGTCCTTGCCCTCTCTGTTGTTTCCTTCTCTTGTGAAGCGCTTTCACTCAAGTTTCTGAAAGTACAGTCAGCTGCCATCATCCTCTAATTCCAGAGCTGGGAAGACTTGGTGTTGGGCTTTATAAGCTGGAATAGGGAGTAATCACCCTCAGTAGTGCATGAAATTGTGCCCTGGCAGCGTTGCTTAGGATCATCACGGTCACTTTCCAAAGAATGGCCTTTATTTTTTGGAGTCTGCCTTTTCCTGCCATCAGTGGGGGCATCAGTATGGTCTTGTTGCACCTTGCAGAAAGGCTTTGAAGCCAGTAAAGGTGGCTAAACTGCTTTAAGGCCTTTGGCTGCCAAACTCCCAAAATCAAAGTGCTGGTGTGACACTTTAAGCAGGCATCGCTGCA